GTTAGGATGAAAAACTTTGGATGTTCAAAATTTTGGATTTCGAAAATGTTTTTTTGTTCAAATTTTGTAAAGCTTCTGATTCATCGCTCATATTCTATCTTGCTAAGAAAAATAAAAGTTCAATTCAATGGCTTTATCCTTCAAACAAAAACTAAGTTGGTTAATTGTTGTATCGATGTTTCATTTAGCTGACAAGGAATATGAAGTCATCGGTAAGAGCACTTGGTTTGTGGATGCTAGCGTTAGTTCTCACTAACGCATGGACTTCAATGTGTCTTTGTAGTTCCAAACATATTTGATCGAATGATTACGCAAAAATAAGAGTGGTAGACGGACCATTTTTTATCCGATCCGATCCGATCCAGTTTTTAGTTTGGTTCTCGTACCGTTTTGTCCATTACCAGTTGAACCGATAAGGAACCGATTTACCCGATTTTTTTAATTTTTTTTAAGTATCCTTTAATTCGACTGTTGGGCCCTTTTAGCTGTTGGGATGGGCCCAAAACGGTAAAAAAATACCCCCACTCCTTTCTAACACATTTACACTATAAATACACATTTTTTCCATTTTTTTTCTCGAATAAATTGAAATACTTTAGAGGCTTGTACACGTGACAATCAAATTTTGGGGTACTTTTGAGTTAATTTTCGCATTTTATTGTGATAGTCAAGTTTTAGGTTGACTTATTTTGGTGGAATAAGACGAGTGACATCACGTCCATTTTTGGATCGTGACAGAAAAGCTCAATTCAATGGCTTTATCCTTCAAACAAAAACTTATTTGATCAATTGTTGCATCGGTGTTTCCTTTAGATGAATGGGATATGGAGTCATCGGTAAGAACATTTGGTTTGAGGATGCTAGCGTTAGTTCTCACTCACCGTGGACTTCTGTGTATCTTTCTAGTTCCAAACATTCCTGACCGAATGATTTCGTCAAAATAAGAGTGGCAGATAGATCGATTTTTGTCCGGTCCGATCCGATTTCCTTATCGGTCCATCAAGTCAGGTCCGATTCCCTTACCCGTCCGTCCGGTCTGGTCCGATATACCCCTTTCTGCTCATAGAAAGTTCTTACAGGGAACTTAACAAACTTCATTACTCATCTTCTATCTTTCTAAAGAAAAAAAAAAGTTCAATGGCTTTATTTGTCAAAGAAAAAATGATTTTGTTAAGTGCTGCATTACTTTTTCATATAGCTGGGCCATTGTCGTGACATACAGTATGCAGTTATCGGTACCAATATTTCTTTTGTGGATACTATCGGTAGTTCTCGCTTACTGTCTACTTATCTACGTGCTTGTAATTCCAAAAATTCCTAACCGATTGATTACTGAAGGGGCTACCAAAATTTTGTTTAGGCTTGCTGTTGATGTTATAACCCAATTCCTTGCTAATGTGGTAGTATCGCTTGCTAATCTTCATGATCATGGTTCTTGCATTATTAGGTAAAATCCTTGTTTTATGACTTGTTATTATGGTGATGTTCATGAGTTTTGGCTTGTTTGCGTTCTTGAATCGGGATAAGAGAATGTGATGTGGCGAGACAAGTGGACCATTGCTAGCTCAGGTTGGATTAGAGGGTGTGCTGATGCGTCCGCTTTCTGAATTAGAGTTAGGATGAAAAACTTTGGATGTTCAAAATTTTGGATTTCGAAAATGTTTTTTTGTTCAAATTTCGTAAAGCTTCTGATTCATCGCTCATATTCTATCTTGCTAAGAAAAATAAAAGTTCAATTCAATGGCTTTATCCTTCAAACAAAAATTGAGTTGGTTAATTATTGCATCGATGTTTCATTTAGCTGACAAGTAATATGAAGTCATCGGTAATAGCACTTGGTTTGTGGATGCTAGCGTTAGTTCTCACTAACGCATGGACTTCAATGTGTCTTTGTAGGTCCAAACATATTTGATCGAATGATTACGTAAAAATAAGAGTGGTAGACGGACCGTTTTTTATCCGATCCGGTCCGGTTTCAGTTTGGTTCCCGTACCGTTTTGTCCATTACCAGTTGAACCGGTAAGGAACCGATTTACCCGATTTTTTAAATTTTTTTTAAGTATCCTTTAATTCGACTGTTGGGCCCTTTTAGCTGTTGGGATGGGGCCCAAAACGGTAAAAAAATTCCCCACTCCTTTCTAACTCATTTACACTATAAATATACATTTTTTTCATTTTTTTTCTCGAATAAATTGAAATACTTTAGAGGCTTGTACACGTGACAATCAAATTTTGGGTACTTTTGAGTCAATTTTCGCATTTTATTGTAATAGTCAAGTTTTAGGTCGACTTATTTTGGTGGAATAAGACGAGTGACATCACGTCCATTTTTGGATCGTGATAGAAAAGCTCAATTCAATGGCTTTATCCTTCAAAAAAAAACTTATTTGATCAATTGTTGCATCGGTGTTTCATTTAAGTGAATGGGATATGGAGTCATCGGTAAGAACATTTGGTTTGAGGATGCTAGCGTTAGTTCTCACTCACCGTGGACTTCTGTGTATCTTTCTAGTTCCGAACAATCCTGACCGAATGATTTCTTCAAAATAAGATTGGCAGATAGATCGATTTTTGTCCGGCCCGATCCGATTCCCTTATCGGTCCGTCCAGTCAGGTTCGATTCCCTTACCCGTCCGTCCGGTACTAGTTCAATCGAATTTTAAATTGGTTGAACCGGTTCTTTTCCGACTGGTAATGAACCAAATAGATGAAATATTTGATGAGAATAGTGATGAATACATGGAAGCAATTGAAGAAGATCGACAAATGCAAGTTTCAAAAAATCTTTCTTTTGAAATGATACTAAATTTACAAAAATAATTTAAGAAAATGCAATTGGTAGTACAATATTTAATATTCAATACCTAGATTATGTACTCTTTATCTCTTTCTAATGTTTGTATTGTTCAATTTATTTATATGAATAAATATTCAACTATTCACCTTGATTTTCTTTTAAAATAGTCTCTTCTATTTAAAAAATTAGCAAGCAATACTACCACATTAGCAAGGAATTAGGTTATGACATCAACAGCAAGCCTAAACAAAATTTTGGTAGCCCATTCAGTAATCAATCGGTCAGGAATTTTTGGAATTACAAGCACGTAGATAAGTAGACAGTAAGCGAGAACTACCGATAGTATCCACATTAAAGTGTAGCTTCATCTTTTATGTAAATTGATGAGTTAAAGTGTCACTAATCAAAGAATTCAAATAAAAATTATGTGTACAATTTATTTAACTAGAATATTTTAGAGAACATCAAATATTTTAAGATTTAGTAATAATAATAGATAATCTAAACGTTATTAATGGAGAATATTTTTATTCAATTATCAATTTTGTGTTGTTATTTGTTTGAATTATATTATTCAAGTTGTTTGTATCACAAATTATATAATTGTTGTGACATTCAAACGTCTTTGATATTAGAATTTGTTTTCTTTGATTTGATGAACTTTTTTTCTTTTCAATATGATTTCAATCAAATACATGTATGAATATATATAGCTGAGATTCCACTATTAAAAATATCACAAATGCCCCAGAAAATAAGACTTCTCGTTTTTTTTTTTTTTTTAAAAAAAAAAAAACCTCAAATGAAAAAGCTATAAATGGTTGTGTTACCCATGGATCATTCTTGTATTTTTGGGATAATTGTATATGATATCAAATTAATAATCTAAAATAAATGGAGTAGCTACTGTTTGATTTAATTGTGCCCTATAGTAAACGTTTGTCAAAGTTTGTCAGTCGCCTCTCTCCCAAAACTCTGGCTCGCCACGTTCCCATTCTCGCTCGTCACTCTCACTCTGCTCGCCTCATTCCCTTTATACAACAGAAGTGTATAATTTGTGTTTCTGTTTTGTATAAAGCGAGAGAAAATTGTATATACACATGCAAAAACATATATCTTTGTGCTATACACTTAATTATACAGTTTACAAGCATTTTACTTTGATTCAATTGTATACAAATGCAAATTTTATACAAATATTGCAGCGGAAAAGACCAGTGAATTATACAATTACAGTAAAATAAAATTTTCTCTAGTTTTATATAACAGAAGTGTATAAATTGTGTTTCTATTTTTGTATAAAGCGAGAGAAAAACATATATCTTCTTCCTATACACTTATAATTATACAATATACAAACATTTTACTTCGATTCAATTGTATGCAAAACAAATTTTATACACATATTGCAGCGAAATCGGCCAGCGAATTATACAATTGCAGTGAAATAGGTCAGCGAATTATACAATTGCAGCGAAATAGGACAGCGAATTATACAATTTAGGCCAGCGAATCATACAATTGTATATGTATAAAGAGGGCAACGAATTATACAATTTAGGCCAGCGAATTATACAGTTGTATATGTATAGCGAATTATACAGTTATAGATTTGCTATGGAGCGAAATTATGCTAACTTTACTATAGCATACAAATATGAATTTTTTGTTTGTTATATGTGAAACTTGCCTATTTTCTATATGATAAAATAATAATAATAATAATAATATTTTATATTATAAAAATAATTTTACTTTAAAAATACCTCTAATACTTATAAACCGCAAAAGAACAAAAAGAAAAGGACTTGCATATATATATAGGGAATCTTTTAAACTTGCTATCAATTTTTTTTTATGTATTCGAATTAGAAAACTTAAACACATAATAATTTGCTTCAAGAGGTCTCAGGTTCGAATTCCCTCAAGTACGGAATTGCCTTTATTAGGGAATGCTTTATCTCCAATGTGAGAGTTCTCGATACGAATTTGGATTTACTCGATTTTTAATGTAAATCTCGAATATCGAATGTGAAACAAAAAAAAATGCTCCAATCAAATAGAAGTACTTCAACTTTGAAATAACTTTGTACATAAATTATAAATCGTAAAACCCCTAGAAATTTTCATGTTGAAAATCTCAACATCTTCGTGTATTCAAGTGTTCAATCGAAACAGAAGGTAGTTTTAATGTCTAAATAAAATTCAGAAGTTGTCTATAGGGGTTCAAAGTAACAAACAACAAACTTAGAGGGATCCATTAATAATAAACACTTCTTCAATTTTGAAGCTTTCTTTCTCCTTTCTTGCCATCAGCCGGCGTTTGGGATTTTTCAGGTATTGACTTTTGCTAAAACAAACATCACAATTGATGAACTTGAAACAATCTTCCATTTCTCCTTAATCTCATCAAAATCCTTTAAAAAAAATCCAAAATTGTCTCATTTTGAGATGTCATTAGCTACCCATTTTTCAGCATTTGTTATCCTTTTTACACTTGGTATTCATCGTCTTCTTTGCTGCATCTGCAATTACCTCAAAAACCCATCACTCTATAGATCAAAAACATGGTATTTCTCAGAAGTCAGATGGAAAAATCTTGATTTATACTCCCTTTTAATCATTTTACCTATTGCCTCTTTCTCTCATATATTTCTGTTCTTAGCTTTCTCAGGGAACAATGTAGTGTATAAGTTCTCATTCTTACAGCAATCTGTAGTCATTTTCTTCTTCTGGGTGTTTATGATTCTTATTGTTGTTAAAGAAAGTTTTGATCTTTATGCAATTCTTGATAGTTTGGTTTACAGTTTTGCTGGTGTTTGTTTTGCTGTTGAATTCTTGATGAATGGGAAAGGACTTGTTGGTGTTAGTGGTGGTATGTATGGACATTTGGGGGAGTTGGCATTTGTTTGTGGTGGTTGTTGCTTGTGTCTAGCAGTAAAGCCATCTTTGTTTTTTGTGGAGTTTTTGTTTTCCTGTGTACTTGTGTTGAAAGGGACTTGGGTTTTGCAAGTTGGGTTGTCATTATATACTGATATGTTTTCATTAGATGGATGTGAGAATCTTTTGGTGGGTTTATCGAACGGGAAAAATGATGTTAAATGTGATCTTGATGAGAATAAGTTGAGGGGAACAGCATTGATACATCTATTGTTTATAGTGCATGTTATTGTGGTGATAGTCATGAGTTTTGGGTTGTTTGCGTTCTTGAATCGGGATAAGAGAATGAGATGTGGCGATACAAGTGGACCGTTGCTAGCTCAGGTTGAATCAGAGGGTGTGTTGATGCGTCCGCTTCCTGAATTAGAGTTAGAATGAGAAACTTTGGATGTTCTTCGATAGAGAAGCATTTGAAAAAAACTGCAGAAGTGGTTTACTTGTAAGTTTTGAATTTACAGATTTTTTTTTTATACTATATAGGAAATTCTAGCCTTTTGTTTTTCTTGATCTTCTGTCTTTTCCAATGTACCTTAGCGTTGAATGAAAGGAGAGTTTCTACTATTCATTATATTATAATTGTCTTTCTATATTTCTATGTTCATCTGATTGTTAATGGCAAAATGTTGGTGGCCAAAGAAAGAACTCTTCGAATCAATCAAGCTCCTTACTTGTCTTTAAAGTATCTTTGTACTAAATTAGAAGAAAAAAATAGGTATTTTTATTTTTGGACCAAGGACTGCTGTCAATTACAAAAGAAGCTAGGCCATCTCTGTTCTAGAGGTAGAGAGCCTATGAAATATAAAACTTAATTTACATTATCTGCAAATGAAAATTATACCAAACGAACAAAGACAGAAAGTCTTGATGCTATAAGGATGATTAGATTTTCCTCTTGAAGAGTTCATACAATGCAAACAGGGAACAACAATGAGTGAACCATGTTTTTTTGCATTCCTATAGCGGTTTTTTCTAGACCAGTGCTTCAGAAAGCTGCTGTTGGGGACTTTGGGTTCTTATTATCATCACTGTTGCCTGAATTATTTTAAAGCATATACGTTGCATTGTACAATCTACAATGCAAAGACAAGTGATTTGAGTCTTAAGTATCCAGATCACAGAAGTAGTATCTCTTACATGAATATAATCCCATAAACCCCTTAGTATTTGTTATGCAAATATAATCCCCTGAACTCCTTAGTAATTTTTACGCAAAAATAATCCCCTTCTCCTTATATTTTCTTGTGTTAGACAAACTTCAGGCATATGGCATAACCATTGGTTCCATCAGAAATCAGAATCTGATCTCATTCAGTCACCAACTCTAAAGCAAACATTAGCCTAAACTCCTCCCATAGATTTGTTTTGCATTCCTGAGGCCCACTTTTACAAAGCTTTTTCACTTCATAAATGTTTTTATCATTGCAGACCTTACCCCTACCTCATGGAGGTAGAGAGGCTGTTTACGAAAACGCATAATGTTTATGGACAGTTGCATAAAATAATCACTTTCAACCTGTTGGTTATCAAATAGAAAAGGAATTTTCTTGCTTAACAGCTAGAGTAATATGCAAATCTGGATTTAATCTGTGATAGAAGTATAAAAAAACTGCTAACCAACTCGTTTATTTTACTTGAATATTTTTACAATGTACATGGTACATGAGTATCTATATGTATTGACAACATTTGAGAAAGTGACAAATAGAAAGATGTTTTACATGGTAGAGTGTAACAACTATCCTGATTAAAGGATATGTTTGTCCCTTTTCAGTAAATCTAACCATAAGCAAAATTTATTAATTGTGTTGAAGAGAAATATCTTTTTCCAGCTTTCTGTATTTTGTCTTGGAGGAGAAGATGGGGAATGTCAACCATTTTCGACGAAAACGGTTGAACCCATGGATTTTTAATCTCGAACGGATCCTTTTAAGTTTACTGGTGAAATCACTTCTATATCTGATTATTTTGAATTTTGTGAACTTTACCAACTTTTTCATGTGCTTGTATCCTGCATGAATGTTGTTTGACAAATAGTGAGCAGAAAGTTAAAGAAAAAGGATGTATAGAGTTAGAAAAACTGTGAAAAAATAAAGAAAAAAGTACTCATATGGAAGGTAAGTGGCTCCAAGCTAATAGAATTAATGATCTTTTTATTATGAAACCTATGATAAACTCACAGAATCTCTGTGTGTCTTTGCTTCTATTATATGTGCACAAGCATCATAAATCATGTCGTTCTATATTTGATTGTTAGTTTCTCTTTAGGTTTCTATTCAAAAATATTCTGACCTCAAAATCAAAGGTTCATACCTTTCACCTCTTTACTTTGTTGCTCATCTTGAGGTTCTGTTTTCTGTAAGACCTACAAATTGCAATCATACAGTAGTTCATCACTGTGTATTTTTGCAAAATCGATATCTCAGAGTGCGGTTGTACTGTTTATACTTCATGAACTATAATGTGCCACTCGGATGATTATTTGATCATTTCCTTACCTCAACCAGGCTTTGCAGACATGTTCTCATCCTTCTTTGTATGAATCCTCGAGTGGTCTGTTTGATGCAGAATATAAGCATAAGATGTTAACAGCTATAATGCTATCACGCTTAAAAGGGTTTTTTACCTTTACATGATTTTTCACAAATGCATAAAAGTTCAGAAGGTTCCACACCGTCTTGTCTAGCCTTTTGCCTTCAATATGGCGTGAAGTGATATCTGTGAATGCCATGATAAAAAGGTAAATATCAGGCCAACTCCAATTCCAAGATTTAGAGAAGGCAGGTGAACACTAATATATGTATCTTCTGAGCTTACATGTAGACCTCTTCTCTTCATTAATTTCTTATTCAAATCACTACTCATTTTAGGAGGTTCTTCTAGTACGTTTTCTTTTCTCCAAAGCTATAAATACTTTTCTTTTACCCCTATCAATGTTTTCATTTATTTGAGAGAAACAGTAATTTGCGTAGACGTGTGAGTTGTTAATAGAAAATACCAAAAGAGACAAATCCTCCGTTTGTGCTCAAGTCTTCAATTGCTTCTCCTCTTAGCTCAGGAGGTGGGATAGGGGACCAGATGCAATGGGGTGCCTTGGCACATGCTTTTGTATTTGCAACATCCATGAGTTCCTGCTGCGGAAACTGTCAATGTCCAGGACACTTGAACAAAGTGATGCATGCTTATAAAATTACAAAGTCGTACATGTTATAAAATTGTGTTACCTGGAAGAAAGTTGTTGCTATGATCACATCTGTTTTCTCCTTGAAACGCATTGGGAATACTGCCGTGATTTTCTGGGGCTGTCACAAATGTTAGTTTACATATTAAGAAGCATGAGGCTGTATTCTCTCAAACAAATCTCATATTTTAGGAAGGAATTTTTCTGTACATTTTTTTAATACAATTATTTCTCTTCGTTCAAGTTCCTTTAAATATGCCAAATTGACTCAGATCCCATCATATAGTTGCTATGCATGTGTCATACTTTTTGAACTTAGCAAAACACAGTAGCTGTACTCAGTAGTTTGGAAGTATTATATGGCATAGTTTATAATTTGATCTAAAACATGCTTCTAGTGCCTGCAACCAGTTCTTCCTTCACAGTTTCCTGACTTGGCGTGAGATAAGGTGTGTACTTTCGGTATAACTGTGGATATAATGTTTGCAATGTGTATGTTTACTGGAAGTAGGTTTGCAATCCAAGACGGTAAGACTTTTGGTTTGATGGTTTGAAGAAAAATCACCTGTAGATATTAAAGTCTGAAATGGTCTTGAAATTTGATGGTTTCGGGAAATATGTTCTCACTTTAATTTTTAATTTTTCTTCATTATTTTGAGTATTGCCAGCTGCATGCCAAATGAACTAATTGTCTCTCAGAAAGGGCTTCAGCATTTATGGCTGCCCTACATTGCAATTTAATCCCTCTACTGATGTTCCGACGATGAGGATCAACTACAGCCAAGTTAATGTTAACTGAGCTAGTCTTACGATGCGCAGAGCTACTTATCTGCATGGTGTGTTCATTTACTTGTCCTTAAACATTATCACATAATGTGAAGTACCTGTTTTATGACATAAAACGGCTCTCTTGGGTGATAAACAAGTTTGATTGGTTTGTACATCCCTTGAGCCACATCTTGTGAATTCACATTCATCAGCATTTCTTCCAGCTGAGAACTCAGAATTACACCTTGAACAGCAGCAATGTCTGTTATCATTTTTATAGCCTCTGAAATGAACAAAAGACAACACAAATTTTATGAGAACCGCCGCAGTGTGAAATGCTATCAAAGTAGTAATTGAAAGAAGTTCAATTTGGTTCGACTATTGATGGCTCAGTTTATATCTTAGCATCACCATAACAAAGTGGCAGTTGCTAACCACTTTAAATTCATTATTGTTTTCACTTGTGGTGCCACATTTTATTGTTTATTATTGCATGATCGATTATTCTGCTTCTGAGATGTTTCTAAAGCAGGATAAAGGGGTGGTAGGCAGCATTGATGAGAGGAGTTCCAAACCTTTACCATGCGGCATTCTACCAAAATTGAGTCGTATAGTCAGCTGATATCCTTCTTTTGGAGGCTCAACAATCTCCACAACTTCAGCACTGATAGCCTTTACCTTCTGTATAGTGTAACGTGAAAGACGAGTTGAGACCAGGAATGCTTGAGACAGAATCGGGGTTGCTATTGATAAGTAGGTATGATCGGGATCTGACACCAATGACTGACAAAATATTTCAAAAAAAAAGAAGTTATGGACACATATTTTGGATTGTTGAAAATCAGCAGACATTTTAGCAAAAAAATGCATTTCTCAACTTGGAGTTCGTTTTTTAAATATAAAACTAGTTGCTTGAATTGTTCTTCAGTTCGAAGGATCTTCCTTTAGACAAACCTTGTCTTTTGTGCCATGAACTTCAATCAGGTATGCAATGTATGCTTGTGGTTTTTAGTTGCTCTTACCTGAATGTAATATTCAATGGACCCAAATTCATGAAGGTGATGGTCGGCATCAATAGCCCTTTCATCTCTGTCTCAAGAAAAAACAAGCATGTTCATGGTAAGAGTTTTGGTTTTTACATATACGTTTATTCAAAAACTTAAGAAGAAACACGTCGGAGTACTGCTTATAATTCATCAGGTAAATTCTAAAGGTTAATTACTTACACTTGTTCCAGCTTAACAATTCTAAATGGACGTCTCTATTTTAATGTTTATTGATGTGTCTTTTCTTTGTCGGTTTCATATAAATCTGTTGTATATAGTAATGATGCGGATAGGATTCATATGCTGATCCCAAATTGTAGTCTAACTTGATATAAAATCGTGATTATTCAGTCCAATGAGTTTGTTTGTATGAGTATGCTCTCAATAACTGCATGTCGTTTATGCAGCAAGACCAACTTAGCAGGAACTTAGAGAATATGGTGCTTGGCTGATTGGCTCGTCTCTTTCAAGCACTTCGGTAAGTCCAATACCGACTTGTGATCACAAAAAGTGGCATGTTTTAAATTTTCTCGGTGTTGCTGTCACTAATTGACTGTTGAAAGCAACATTTGATAATAGATCAGAAGGCAAATGTAGCCCCAGCAATGGAATTCTACCTGTACAACGCCTTCTTTTATCTGGCCAAATAGAATCCGTTTTCTGAACACTCAATGTCTATCTGCTTCCACATCATAACTATAAACAAATTACTATTCATCGGCAATGTTAACTAATCATGTATTTCTCAAAACTTAATTCTACTTTATCTAATGATTCCTGCTTAATCTTTATAATTGCCTTATGTTCTGTACTTTCTCCTCTTTACCTTATGAGACGCTCTTCAACTTGATTCTTATTATGTTATCTTGAAAATCTTAGCGAGCTCACTGTATGTTTTTGATAGACTAGAATTACCTAGTATTGAATTTGGAACTGAACTCGAATACTAGACCGACCCTACACTATGATCAGCAATGCTCATCCAGATGAATACGTTTGTTGCACTCAACGGTTCCCCTAGTGGTTTGAGAACCATGAAATCTTAAACGCTAAGTGATCTCTTCTTATTTGTCTAAGCCTTGGTGGAAAGTGGATAGAGTTCGGAGATAGCATATACCTGTGGAATTAGTTAAGGTGCAAGCAAGCTAGCCAGGAGGACACCATGATAATATACAAAAACATGTTGCATCATTTGCTAGGTGTTGAGATTAGCAAAGTAATATATTATAACTAATAAAACGCTTTGTTGTGTTAGCCTCTACAGGAAAAGAATACTCGTGGACTTAACTGAGAAGTAAATCTTGAGTACATGACTTGAAGTACGAAGAACAACGAGTATAGTTCATTTTACCGGTATAATCTGAGCAGAATCTCCTTCAATGCTGGTGATGCACGTTCAAAACGCGCCATGCTTTGGATGTTGATCTTGAAAGTGGAATGAACTTCACATGAAGGTATGTAAAACAAGCTTTTTTACTGATGAGTTGTTGTGGTAGAAGTAGTTCAGTTTTTATATTGAGTAAAATGCAAGATTCTAATTTTGCAATCATTTTTAGTGTATTTTGAAGCAATTTATTCACCAAACAAGACAAATGGCACTACATTTTTTTTTTGTCTTCAGTTCATATGATCATTATCTGTCGATGCTTGTCTTCAAAGATCAGGTAACAGATGGAATAATTAATCATGTTATATATGATTCTATGCACTGGTTACTGAACTATTTATTTTTTTTCACTCGGTGTCCGGAGTTCACATTGGAGCCCAACTAAATTCAGATCGTGCACTGCAAGGCCCATCCGGGAATAACGCTCCTAACAAGATTTTCTCCATACTCAAAGCTCGGACTCGAGACTTCTGATTAAGAGTGAAACACTCTACTAGTGCACGGTTATTAAACCATTATTGATCATTATTATATGGTATCCACTTCACTTGGTTGTTGCATGTGTGCAAAATCAATCAAGAAGAGATCTTATTGTATAATTAAGTTAATGAATTTTTGGAACTACTTATATATTTTTTAAAAAAAAATATTGATTTGTTGGATCTTATTATGGTGTGGGGGCCAATCTTGAGATATTTTAATCGTCTTTCTTTAATGGTTGGTATATTTTTCTAATTCCAATTTACACTTGGATTTTAAAACAAAATCTACTAAATCGAAAAGGGTGTTTTCAGGTAAGGTGAATTTATGATTCGAACTCGAAGTTATTTGTTTTTCTACCACGGGAGGAGTTGATTTGGATTGTCTTAAGCAGTTTAGGTAATCGTTGACATCTTGTCAATTTATTCAAAGTAGCTTTATCAAGATCAGAAGCAAAATTGTGCAAAGATTTCTAATTTCACGAATTGTATCGTTTGATTGGAGGTACAAGAGATAATAATCTCGCGATTATATGTGAGATAAGTTTATCTTACATTTGGTTGAATTTTCGAAATTGAGATTAGTAATTTGGGGATAAAACACTACAAATGACAATGATGCCCTTTTCCAAGGCTCTTCCCTCCAAAGTCCTTCATAAAACTCAAGGTTAAAATTGGAAATATAAGTTTATCCCAACTTATCTAGTGTATATACACCAAGAACATGTTTTATTTTATATCCCACACATCTCATTTTTAGTCCAATGAACCAAATATCGCGCGTAATAAAGATACTTGATTCAGATGAATCGATGTCACAAGTTTGCATCCGTCTTTATAGAAGTGAATATAATCTATATTCAATGAATTCAACTAAATTCGATAATTACGACAAATATCTTTAAAATACGAAAAATCAAGAAATAAAAAAAATAATGACAACTTTCTAGAGAAAATATGAAGTACTCAACACACTAGCTTTACCTACTTTTAACAAAGTGAAGTTGGCAATTACAAAGACAAATATCAATACTTCCTCTGTTCCTAATTATCTGTCTAATTTTTTTTTATTTCTTTATTTTCACAAATAAAAAATGCATAACTTTTTTTTTATCTATGATATTCTTAATTAATTATTTTTAAAAAAGGTAGAACTTCTTGAAAATTTTATATTTTTAATTCATCCATTTCGTAATTAATAAGAATAAAATGGTAAATTCACTACGTCAATCATTGTTTTCTTAATAATTACGTATCTTTCAGAACTGAACAAGTAATTAAGGACGGAAAAAATACATATTAATAAGGTTTAAACCACTATGATTATAAAGTACTTTTAGATTAATATAGATCTAAATTTGAGGTGGTTCAAAATTTAATATACTTCACCAATGTATTAAATTTATAGCACTTTATTACATCCAATGAATGTCTTCATTTTTTTTTTGTCATTCAAGAGAGTGTCATTGTCCACATCCGGTCAATAAATATAGAAAAAATCTTTCGTTTTTCGAATATATTTTGAAAAAATTTATCAAATTCGATCAAATTTATATAAATTTCTATCTCCGATACTATTTATATTTTATTTATTTTTTGCATCATTCCATACATCACTATCCACTAGTGCCATAACATCATGCACAAATTTGGTAATTTGTTACTATGTCTTTTTCTTTAAATTATTAGACGTTACCATTTGCTATACACATTCAGCAGCCACAAAGGATAGAATAGTAAATATGTTAGGTCCGTTAGTATAAAGGGTATATAGCTCTAGTTTTTGGACGATAAGGACATTAATATTTCAAAAGTATGATAAAGGATATCTCTATACTATTTACGACTGTTCAGGGATATATTTATCCTTTTTTCCCAATATCATTACACGTTTCTTACTTCTTTTTTTTTTTCTCCAATAATATCACTAGATTGAACAACTCGTATGGAGAAGGAGTTACAATATTAGATATGGAACAAATTCATTACTTTTTACTTGGACTTTAAATTTATATTGTTAAGAAATTCATTGACTATATAATAAATTTAATAAGTAAAATGAACTTAAAATTCAATGACGAATTTATAATGCATAAATAATCATCTATTTATTTAATTATTCTCAACCTAACCAAACTTTGAAATGATCAAATTCAATTTCTTGTTCAGTTTTATTTGAAAGAGTCTAATAAATAAAGTCTCCCTCCTTTTCTAGTATTGTAATTAATCAGGGTTGTCGTAGAGTAATCAATACTTATTCCTTCATCGTTAAAATATAAATTTCGAATCAAGTTCGAGTCTTGAATATAAATCAAAATGCATTTATTTTTTATATGAAATTTTTCGATGTAAATTATTTCTAAATACTATCAAATCCTAATATAAATATACACGATCAAATAGAAATTAAAAAAAAATGGAGAACAAAAAAAAATTAATTTGAGAGTCATTAATATTTTTGAACTTTTTTTTTCTTCCTATTTTGCCCTCATATGGACCCTTTAATCATCTTTAATCATATGCATTTTTGTATATTTTCTAAACATACCTTATCATGCCAGTTGCTAAACACCCCACCACCACAAAAAGTTCTAAAAAAGTATCATATACTAATTATTATATATTCTTCTAATTTAGCATAAAAAAAACGTTTTTCCATTATTGTAATTGTTTGGTAATTATTCCATTAAGTGTACATATGTTTGCTATCAAAGGAAATTTTTTATTGGAAAATATTTTTGAGAAAGAAAAAAGTGATTTTTTTTTGTGTTTGATACGTAAGCGAACAATAAAGGTGATATCATGATACGTAATGTGTATCTAGTTTTATTTTTATTATATAAATATAAAGATATATTTTTTAATAAACACTTGAATCAATTAAAACATATAAAGCACACTGAACGGGCGTGCTTTGACCGTGTCTCCGGAGCACAGTTGAATGTAGATATCATGAGCGCGAGGTGCAGGATACCAGGCCGAGAAACCCGGGCAACCATTCCCCTATGTGCCAATCGCTAGCGCATCCAGGGCCCCGGCGCCCAGCTCAGCTGGAGAGGCCTAGCCTGATCTGAGAAGTGCTAATTCGGTTCGGATAGACAATTAATAAAAAAAGAAAATTTGATCCTAAAAAAAACATATAGAAAATAATGAGAATAGGAATAATAAAAGTAAATAACTTATAACATTAGTTTAATAATTATATCACTTTTCACTTGCTAAAATATTTTTATTTTTTATTTAAAAAAATAGTTTCAATTTTATTGATTGAAATTCGATTTTCTTATCTTATAATTCTTTTTTCCATTTTTTTTCTATTCGCCCGTATCCCTAATTCTTCCATTTTTCTTTTTTTTTTTGGAAAATTAAAAACTACATTAAAGAATTCTTTAAGACAATTTTGAAATCATCTAAGAGATAAGTTAAAGAAATTATTTTGCACTAATTAATTATTTTATATAGAGTATCAACCAACTCCATCATGTCCACTTTATTTTTATTTTTTTTATGACACTTATTATTTTAACCATTGACATTTTTTTCTTTTTCATATATAAATATAAATTCAATAGGATGAGTGATTGAACTTTTTTTTTCTCCATGATTTGACAACAAAGTAGCCCAACCAAAATAAATAAATAAAATAAAATCGAAGTAACATGTTCATTTTCTTTTCTCTTTTTTATAAGAATAATATCATTACCATGAATGAGAAATACTATATATTTTAAAAAGTTAATCGAGATGTATACGTATACAATATAGTTATAATAAAAAATAATGCCACTATCATTTCATCTTTATTAAGTAAAGAAGATCACCATATCATCATACACCACAATCAATTAAGTTGCTCTAATTTGATAGCATTAAACAAATCACAAGATTTCTATAATTATTCGTCAAATTAAGAAAGAATTAATATCGTGATTAAATACGAAAAAACATTTCATAAAAAGAATAAGATATTTTTAAATCTAAATTCATTCAATGTTTTATAGGTTATATTTTCACAAACTTGTATATTATATGATGAATAAAAAGCGATTTCTTTTAACATAATAAATTAATTGCAGTGTAATACTGAAAAGTTGTTTACTCTAATTGGCCTAACATTTCCATCTATATAATTTCAAGATTTTAATAAACTTTAGGACATCATTTTTTAATAAAAGTAAAAATAAATAAGTAATCAAAAACAAGAAGGGGGACATGGTTTGTAAGATGAAAGAAATACTTCCAAACTAAGGAATATTCAATTAATGATGATAATATTAACTTACCAACTTATATTCATTTAATAAATAAATAAATTTATTTTAATTTTTTTATATAGATAAAAAAAAAAAAACATCTTCATGTGAAAAAATTCAAAGTGTTCCACTTTAGTATTCTTATATTCAACAATTAGGCCCCATATTCCCACCTGTCATCTTCACAACTAACTCCTTTTTTGGCATTAATTAATAACTAGAAATTACTTCTTAATTAATCCTGGAGTTTATTTTTATTAACACTTATCCCCTTAGTTAAAACTTTATCAAACATTTAAAAAACAATAATTTTCATGTTGTAAAACCTATTGCTTCCACATAAATTGACTTATATATGAATAATTATTGTTTAATTAAAAAATGGTCACTAATAACTTTTGTTAAATTTTAAAAAATCTAAAAATTGAAAAGAAAATGATAGAAAGGATGAGTAATGAAACTTCTTATCAACGAAAATATAATTTTAGATAAAGAAAAATATGAATAATGTGTACAACATGTTAAAATATGTAATAAAATATTTTTTATTTTTTTGAAATTTAAACTTATTGATGTTTATCGAAGAACTAACTATACCATTGGAATGTCCAAATTTGAAATAAAAATCATATCTGGCCTAAATATTGTTTAGGTTTTTGCACGATATATATTTTGTTGTTCTTGTCCCTTTTTTATAAGCTTTTGAATCAATTTTCTTGTTAATTAGTAGTTGGTATATTTTTTACACTTTTTTTTTTTTTTTTGTACTTAAATTTGGTACAGTTGAATTGATAATTATTTTAATGGTGAAATTTTACCTATATTTTATACTCATCAAATTTCACTTATGATATTTCAACAAATTATATACATATATATACCGATATTTATATGAACATTAGATTAATTTGAATTTATATTTAGGACTTTAT